TTTATCGTTGTATTGAACATGTTTTCTTCTATAAATCAGTGTGTTTGTTTATCATTGCTTGCCTCTGCATATATTTTTAATCAGTCATGAATTTAGGAAACTCTAGGATTAATGTTCCGTAAAACTACTATTTATTTAATATATTTTATGATTTTATACACAAATAGTATTATGTTCCTTCTGCTTAATGATCTTCACTTTTAATTTTTTGTTATGTTTTATAAACTAGCGCTTGACCACGATCCCACCTGGTGTTATTGGAGATTTGGTCGAAAGATGGTACGCGCTAGCTTAGTAAGTGCCTGAAATGAGATTTTTCTTTAAATCTGTATTATTTGACTGATTTATTAGAATGAAATAAGTTCAATTACAAAGTTTGTCAATCTTGATTGTTAAATAAAGAGCTTAGATATAAGCTATTTGAAATCAAAGCTTTGACATTCCCCTTAAATTTAAGATATAAAAGATAACAGTATTATTATTATACTAGCTGTTGCCCGCGACATCATCTGCGCGGAATTAAAAAAAAACATAGAAAATTATGTATTCGTTCAGACTATGTTCTACATCGATGCCAAATTTCATCGAGTTCCGTTCTAACAAGTCATCCATCCATTCATATATTTAAAGTTTACATTTATAATATTAGTAAGATAACAACGTTATTGTTTTAATTCTATTCAAATTTTTAATAGAGTCCTAACAAGGTGCTCGCTAATTTTCCCAACTTAAATTTCAAAAGGAAACTCCTTAAGAATACCAGACTTCCGAAGTAAGCTCTAGAGTAATTTCAAAATGTCTAGAACACATTTTGTAACAACGCAAACACAGATTATCCCTAGGGATCAGACACAGTTCATAAAAGTTTTTCAACCGAGGAAAATCCCACGCAAAAAATAAATTGGTAAACAACTTTGTGAAAATTCACGCGGAAAACTATCGCGATTGTTTGAACATATTGGTTGACGGTAATTACATTTTTCGTCGAAAAATATTAAACAATACAATAGTATTTTAATAAATAAAACGTTGATACGGAATATTATGGCATTAAAAGTTATATAGGAAACGGAGAATGTTATAGAGCTTAAGTATTCGAGAAATTGGACAGTAGAGACATACGGAGTCGGTGATAAATTTTCTATAGTTGTCGTCAATTGTCCCTCGGATTGGGTGTGAAATTGGTACGTTGATTTCGGGATATCAGGATTTCTCATTCGGCACAATTTTGTCGTTCATTCAAGCGACAAACCCTTTCGGAGACAATTCTGCCCGATGTTTGAAGTATGAATGACTCATCGTAATTTTGTCGGCGACTAATGTAATGTCAATTGGAATCTTTTAAAAGTAAAACGTACATCATGTTTAAAAATGCATAATTTATTATCTAAATTAATGATTAAATGGTTCTCTTTTTCTATTTGTCACTATGAGTATCTTTGTACATCTGAAGTTGAAAGTATTCAAGGTATTGCATATTCTAGATAAAAAACTTTGAATCTACAATCATTTTCTTGCAACAAAGTCACGCTCTAGAAATATCCGTTTGCGATTTGTTAAGACCGTAGTCGTCGTGACTTTGTTCGCTCAGTAAATGGCGCTTCCTTCCGGGAACCTATTCTACTTTTACGTGAGGTCACTGAATTAAAAAAAAAACTTTGTTTCAAATTAAAAAAAAAATCTGAAATTAACAATTGGCCTTTTATTATATTTTCTAATTAAATTATAAAGCTGTTTCAAAATCAAATGAATTAATTTCAAAACTATATAAAATAAACAAATGTTTCCAGGTATTCCTAAAGTCAAGATTTTCAGTTCATCTTGTCGGTGAATGGGTGCTGACATCCATCCTGTTTGTTAGAAGGTATCTCCAGAACGATTTAACAAAATTCAATGAAATTTATCAAATATGTAGAGTGTTACTTATTAAGTTGTTTTTTTTAACTCGGCGTTAACGGAGTCGCTACCAAGAGTTAGTTAATAATAACCATCTCACCACAATTCTGAATTACAAAAATGGCTAAAGTTCTACGCCTCCCGGTCGATTGGGCAACCGATTTTACAAATAGCAGTTTTACGTGCTCAATGTCGGAGGTAACGATCTACTTAACCGAATATTATGATGAACTAGCTCCAGCATCCTCAGAGGGAATGTCTATTCCATGCATAACAATGAACTAGATTTATACTAATAATATAGGAAAAAATACCCCATTATAATAAATTGTATTGGATAAAAAATGTATGTTTGTTACATACATTTTTTTACATAAGTAACACAAAAAATCAATTTCGCTAAAGATGATTAGATGCTTCTATGTACACAAATTTAAACCTTTTTAATGCACGCGGGGAAATACTTACATGTATGCGACTCTATGGATGGAAGAGCGGATATATACCGGCAATGTCTACCTAGAGGGGGGGGAGTTGTGCCTAATGTGTAGATTTCTTAATAATAGATAAACCTTTCCTAGGTTTGATTGTATGTTGTATGTTTAGTCAATTGTGATATGGCTTGGCTGTATCGATTTTAAAAAGTTAGATATAATTTGCTTTGTATTTTATCCGGTAGTAAGTACAGATAGAGCTTTTTGATTCTTTAAATTAACACACAGTTGTAAGCTGCATGTTTTAACCAAATATAGTTATATGTTTAATTTCTTTTTTTTTAAATAAAATATTAGCAGATTTTTGTGTTAATTTACTTATATTTCTTTAACGATTCCAAATAAGCTCTAAGCTTGTGCTAGGATATGGTTTACGACAATAGTCGAATGGCGGGATTCGAATCCCCGACCTCGTGATCGTAAATCTGTACCCTTAACCATCAGGCTATTGACGACTTTTCACGTATATACCTGTGGTTCCATTGAATCGAATTATATTTGATTACGAGGACTGCAGGACTGTTTCTATTTGTGCGACTTCACCTTGTGACACAACCCCCGAGGGTTTAAGCGCACTCAATAAAAGTTTCCATACAAAGGAAATTCCAACGAAAGATATAAAGTAGTTACGGAATTTTTCTCACTTTAACAAAAAATAAAGAAGTCTTTGTAAATTACAAGCCGTGACTTCAGTTAAAATTCTACGAAGTTTAATAAAAGTTATTTCACAATAAAATAACAATTAAATAATACTTCTATAATAAATAAAATATAATTATTCTTCTTAATTCACATAACTCCTAGAATATTCAATAACACAATATAATAGTTTATAATCTTACGGATTAAATTAAAAATGAACACAAATGAATGTAATATTACAATGTTATTTTTATTTAAATAATACGAGATAACAAAAACAGTTATGATTTTCGACTCATTTGCACAAATATCTTGTTAATAATAAGTATATGGATTTCGATTTAATCAAAATAAAATCGAGAAATCAAATTGAAGGTTTTGTATAATACAATGAATAAATCAGCGCTTGATCCCGATCCACCTGATGCTACTTTAATTAGGTAAGTAAGGTATTATATACATTTTTTGCACCCTCTAAAAATAAACCGAATGATGAAAGGATGAAGTTAAACGTTAAAGAGTCGCGTTACAAAGCTTTGTATAAACAGAGCAGAGCATTTATGGCTCCCGTCTAGTTCAAGTGTGATTAAAGTTCCGGATTTCCGGCTGCGTTTGACATGCAAACATTGTTGGTTTCAGAGCTCAGTGCTGAACGTTCAGCGTTCAGGCACACGCGTCCGACTTTTGTTGTTATGTTTGTTATAATGAGAGTTTAACTTACCGATGAATGATTTATCTTTTATAACTTGTGTACGCGCATTGTTATATTGTATTTAACAGCAATGAAGTGTTGACTATAAATTGTATACTATATTTTTATTGGTTACGTTCGAATTTATTTATTTAAATTATTTCCTTTGTAATAAATCATAAGGGTGATTAGGCCATAGTCAACCACGCTGGCCAAGTGCGGGTTGGTTGACTTTACACATATCTTTTGAATTTCTTCTCATGTATGTGCAGGTTGCATCACGATGTTTTCCTTCGCCGTAAGAACGTCGGATAAATGTACATATGTAAAATCGGAAATCGAAAAACACATTGATAGATGGCGGGATTCGAGCCCAGGACCTGCAGATTTATAACTTAACTAAAAATTTATTTTCATAGCAAGGGCGGCCCGCTATAAGCGATTTCTGCCAGACAACCCAGTGGTACAGGAGAGGCTTTTCGTTCTATGACTTGATATAACTTTGGACTTCGTAGTCAAGCGCTACTTTAGTCATTATAAAAAAAATATATTAAATCATAGAGCCACAGTAGCATATTAGACTAGTCCATATTTAATTTCAATCTACTGAAAAATAATTGCAATATCCTTATCACCCAAATGTTAAATACAACACTTACTTAAAAAAAAATTTTTACTATTTATTGTCGTCTTGATATCTATCAATAACATCGGTTTAGTGTCGGAACATCCAATTATTCCAAACCTACATGACTTTCAAACAATCGGAACTGAAATTCTAAGTAAGTTCAAGTTGAATGTAGACATACTTCCTCTGTCGTTTACTTAAACTTGTTTATTCAAGTTATAAGGGTCAGATTTCAAAACCGACGCGATATCGATTTAGAATTACCCTGTCAGAGTATACCTTTATAAAGTACAATTTCTAATAAACTTTATTATAACAACATTTATCATTAAATCGTTCCAATAGAAATATTTCAGGCGTGTGATTTATCGCGAATGAATTCTAATATCAAGAAATACAAGACAACGCTAGTCTTGGAATGTAATCTTAGAATCAATAGAAATACAATTATATTTAAAGTAATACGAATACCTTTCTTATATATCTATTATGCTATATACTTTATAAATTTACAATATTTTGGCGCAATTAAGCTGTTTATGTTTTATTTTTATATAATGGTACTTTATTGCGTATTATACATGAATTATAACTGGCCACTTTTTCAGCGGTAAAAAAAAATTGTATTACTGACCAAATATGACTTTGACATTCTAATTTGGGTAAACTCTGAGATGGGGATGTCCTCATGGACGTAATATATAGAAGAATTTTATGTAATAAACAAAATTTTGTTATTTATTAATATACTCACTTATATTAGAATTTAATCGGAATTATTAAACATAAATAAATAATATATGATACATATTAGTTATCTGTAGAATTCATATAATCAAATCTTTATCCGGCCCGTATACAGATTCGTAAATAAAGTCAACGATTAATTGAACTTGCGGATACATGAGAGTCATAAGTAATACAATACTGTTGGCGATGACAAAGAGCTTCATGTTTTCTTGTCCATCAGCTGACCTGGAACAAATTAATGCATTTAAGCTAACTTCAAATTGAAACACCAATCGCCAAAATATAAATATACGACATCTTCATATTTTGGCGATTTTTTTATATTATTAGCTGTTGTCTGCGACTTCGTCTGCACGGAATTATAAGGAACGAAATTAGTATATTCTTCTTGCTATGTTTTATATCTAAGCCAAATTTCACCGGGATCTACTTAACAGTTATGGAGATACCTTCTACCAAACATCCATACATCCATCTAAAAATTAGCATTTATAATATTAGTTACGTATATTGGCAGGATCTCATAAATCGAAAAAAAAAACGTTCAAAGTTTAAATAATACAGTAATAGTGTTTTCAGACACAAAAAGGTTTCACTTAAAAAAAGGCATAAAAATATGATCTTCAGCTTTCCAATAAGAAAAATAGAATTTCTATTAAATATTTTATCAATATCTACGTTATTAAATTGGTTTGTCTATTTTTGCTATAACTTAAAAAAGTTAGTGAAGTAAAATGAATTTGCTATTACTTTTTATAAAAAAAAACAAAAGCCGTCATTTAAATAGGTCTTTGCATCAAGGAAATATGAAGCCAGGCATGCTAATGCGATCGCTCGCTTGTCAAGGCTGCAGCGTTACGGCATTGGCCGCTTAACAAACGCTGTTTATGTGAGGTACAGCTTTATCTTTTATGAATAAAGCGCTATTAAATTGACATATAAAACAAATTGTCAAACAAAACAAAACACAAAAAAAATATTTACTCGTTTTACAATATAAACATTGTTATACTCGTATTACGAATTCGTTGCGTGGGCGTATTTAACGCGTTCTACATTTCTAGTTGATGTGTCCATAGTTCAAGTTGCTATGATGATCGCCAACCTTTGTTACGAGATGGAACCAAAAGAAGAAGATAATAGTTCAATGTTTTCCTTGAATAAAAGACAAATAAAAAAAAATATTTTACAATTCAATTACCTCAGCCAACCTCCAAAGCCTTGATCTTCTTCATCTAGAGAGTCTAATCTTGATACCTCCTTCTCAGTTCCTTTAGCATTAGCACTGTCATCATTTTGAGTTTTTTTACTTCTTTGTCTGTTATCGCCCTTATTTCTAGTCATGATCTGTAAAAACAAACAATATCCTTAAGATTTTTTGACTCATTTCTTCTACAGGTAATAAGCAAGCAATTTACTGTGACTCGTTGAAAAACATTACACCAAAGTTTGCAAATCAAAATGTACATGTTTCAAGACTAATATGATACTGCTACACTCTTGATTGAAAAACAATTTAACGATAACCTCAAAAGTAACAAACACACGGCTTTTTAAACAAAATTCTTTTTTTTTTTAAGTAAATAAATTACACACTTAATCAAATAAATAAAATTACTTATAAAACAGAGTTATAAAGACGAGAACGGTAGAAACATCTATGAAACACGTCTGTTGCTGCTTGAACGCTTTAAGGTTTTACTAGCAGCGCATAACAAGAAACCTTTAAAATGCAGATCAATAACTACTTACATTTTTCCAGGGCCACTACTTATCTAATTAAAATTTTATAAGATATTCTACCTAATATTACACAGTTTATTACAATATTAGCTGTCGCACGCGGCTCTGCCTAAGTGGAATTTAAAATAAAATACTTAATTAGTAGTCTATGTGTTCTTCCACACTATGTTCAAATTAAATTAAAGTTAAATTTCATCGTATCGTTGAACCGATCTGCAGCTACCTTCTAGAAAACATCCATTCAAAATTCTTTTAAGTGTATGTTAAGTCGTGTATGATTCTTAGTTTGAAGGTACGCGTCCATTGGCCTACGATATTCGCACCACACGCACGGCCCGCAACGGATTTTAGTTTATTTTAACAAAGCCCTGCGTCCATCCGCGCCGCCCGCATCGTAAGACAAAGCAAATCCGTTACAACCGTGCGTACGGCGTACAAATGGACGTGTACGTTAAAATAGTTTGTCGTAAGTTAAATTTTAAATATATCAAAAGTAAAATAACTTTTCTCCTTCAGTCTATGCCCTGACCTCGTACAACATTTTAAAAGAACTTTAAAGTCGTTGCATCAAAGTCAAAGTGGGCAGATTTAACTGAATCAAGGTAATGCCTTTGCTAAGAATTTGCAATTTCCGTACCAGAGATGCAAACTTGATGCTTAATTGGTTGTGAATAACGGTGTTTATTTCTGAGTTTTGATTCATTTCTTTGAGCATAATCATGTCCTCTGTTTTAATTTGGATATTTTTTTTAAGTGTCCTTTGCCGCACACTCACACACGCAAATACGTTACATGGTTTTAATTGACCGCTACCCTTAGACTCTAGAAAGTGTTAATGTCTAAAAGTTGCGTTGCCTACTATAGTGGCCTAAGTATACAGATAAATAGATTAATTGGAAGAGAGGATTCTTTTTAATTTCCCAATCATTATTTAAATAAGGCAAAGGGGGAAGAACTCTAATGTTCACAAAATAAATTTGCAAATTTTCACACTATACTTCTTTGACGGAAATAAGTTTGGCAATCACAAAGAGCACGTATGATGCTGAGTGAATCGACACGATTATCGTTCAAGTGTGACACGGAAGCGGGTCATTCGTTCCGTGGACGTTATTCATTCGTTCCGTGGACGTTATCTGACGTGCACGCTTCCTGCCCGCGTGCAGATTTGCGACATGTAGAGGGTCGTTTACATTCAGCAAATTTATTTCACTCGTTTAAGAGAATTGCACGTCTTACTTCTAGAATCGTCTTCACTGAGAGGGTTTTGTTTCGCATAGTTTTGAATTTGTAACTACAATCTTGTTAAAGACTTTTGGAGTAAAAATTACCAAGGTTTTTATAGAGGAAATGTAAAGTATGATTTTTGAATAGTTTCATTCGCTCATCTTGTTTGTTTATGTTCAATTTTTAAAATGTTACTTTTATAATGATTAAGGTTGTGGACACGCAATTTGCAAAAAGCGGGAAAGTACGATAGGCGGAGCGGGACCGGAATAATAGGGATTTTTCCGCTCCCGCTCCGCCGTCGCGCCGCACCGCTCGGCGCTAATTTTATGCCCGCAGCCTAAATGTTAACTTTCAAAATTATTAGTTACGCAGTGACCGTATTGTTGTGTATAAAATCCTATATGTTATAGTGAATTATAACATTATGTATGTGACTGGTGAATAGTTGATGTGAATTATTATCCTCTTGCGAAACTACGATCATAATTCATGCGTCATTGTTTCACAGCGCGACAGTTATGAAGGATTACTTTTACATACGATGTTGATCTCTTATCTAGACACGAATAGTGTATTCTCTGATTATTGATTAATGAAAACTCGTCGGAGTTGACGCAAATAAAGTCGAGATAATATTCTGCTTGTTTGCGATAAAATCATTTTAGTATTCAGTTCTTTGATTTATTAAGGTAATATGAATGTTGTTTAGTTTTTAAATAACGGTTATTTGTTAAGGAACATTTTTTTTTAATCCAATATAATAAGCTTTGTTTCGGAGCGCAATTTAAAGACTTTAATGGACTTTATATTTACACAAGTAATATCTAATTTGTTAAAAATAACATAAAAGTTTGTCGATTGTTTTTTGTAATTATTTTTCAATCTTTAAACGGCATCGACTTACGTAGAGTTCTCTTACACTATTTATTACATACCACGTACTCAAATGGAATTCAATTTTCTAAGAAGAAAATAATAGATAATAGAAATAACAATTTCACTTTGTTTCTGTGGAAAATTTTCCCCACGCGTTCTAAAATAGTTTGAACATTTCTAAGCTTGCCGTTAATAAAAAAAATATTCTTACTTATTAATTTCATTCTAAAAAAGTAAATAAGTTTTTATTTATATTAATGTAACATTTTTTAATACACTAGTTGTCGCCCGCGACTCCGTCCGCGCGTATATAAAAACAGATAATTAGTAGCCTATGTGTTTTTCCAGACTATGTTCTAAATGTATGCTAATTTTCATTGAGATTCATCCATTTAAACAATCGCATTTATAATATTAGCAAGGAGTAAGATATAAGGATTTTTTCTTGAAAAGGAATTACGTGTGTAAAAATATCGATTAAAATATTGAATTTTATTACAACTATTATTGTTACTAAAAAGTATGTCTTTCTACGCATCAAAAATGACAAACCGCAAGAGCAAGCCTTGACAAGAAAATTTATAGTACGCGATCACTGTTCTGAATGATAAATCATCTTTTCAGATATTTGGCCCCGAATTACCCTCATGAATAACATTTATGAGACCGAAGTATGAGATTCAAAAATGAAGTAGGGCGTAACCAAACTTACAAAAAAATTGTCGACTAACGAATAAATTAGTCTACTGATATATCTGACTAATATTATAAATGCTATTGTATAGATGAATGGATGTATGAAGGTATTTCTGGAAAGGCTTAACGGATCTTAATGAAATTTAGTACAGATGTAGAGCATAATCTGGAAGAAAACATAGGCTACTCATTAAGTTTTTTTTTTAATTCCTCGTAGACGAAGTCGCGGCTGACCAGCCAGTATTACTTAAATCAGCAAAATTTTCAGCTTATTAATTTTTTAACAACTCTACAACGGTTTTGTTTACATCTTATCTTACACGAGTTTAACTTTTGGAAAAATATATTACAACCTTATTAAAGAAAATACTCTTTTTTTTCTTTAGATAACAAATTTTTACACTTTCTAATCCTTTCGATTCTGAACGTTTAAATACCAAAGGATATATTTCACTTTAGTTCCAGCGACCTTCGACCCATTTTATTTCATTGTACCCAACATTCTCTTTCCTATACTTAAATAGTATTGTATTGATTAGCGTGCTTTATTTGACATATTTTTCTTCCCACTCACGTACCCTTTGTGTACAACCAAAATCTAATTGATCAATCAATAACAACTAACCGTGGGTTTCTGAGACATATTATTCGTTTAAAATATACTGTTATCTCTGTTATGTTATAGATAATGACAGGGACGGCGACATGTTTTATAAAAATATTTTGATCTCGGAAACCCACGGTAAATAATATTAACATTTCAGAATAACAGTAAGTTTAAGGCTGCATACTTGCGCTTTATAAATGTTAATTTTTAAAGAGTTAAAGATTATAATATTTACAATAAATTGTCTAAGCTTCGAATAGTAATAATGTTTTGTGATGCGAAGTTCATTTATTATATTAGATTTTATTAAATTCCTTCCGTATCTGAACGTTTCTGTTCATTGTAATGAAAAATTGCTTACCGTGGATAAAGTGTAAGCAAGTAAACAAAGCAAAACAGGTCTGGTTTAAAAACACTGCTATTTGATAGAAAATAGTTCGACTTGTGTAATTTTTCATACATTTTTTTTTTAGTGGAAATTGCTAATTATTAACTGCAGGAGCTATAAAGAACTATCATAGAATACCGGCTTTTATATTATTTTTCGTATTTATAATTAAGTATAGATGGGGGTCAGTAATAACTAGATGCTAAGTTAGCAATAACTTGATCTTCATATTAATTTTGAAAATTTAGTTTACAGAACGCCTATTAACATATGCAAGCAAAATTTACGATTCTATTTTGTGGTCTGACGATGTCATTTGCATTGCCGCGTTAAGCTTGATATTACATACGTCTCGAGTAAACATCATTTTGTCATATTTCAAGGGTAATGTAATATTTTCCTTAATAATGGTAAGTATTATTAAGATTTACTAAAAGCCTTTATGACCTCAACAAATAGTGTATTTTTGATTTTTATACTTTTAAATAAGATTAAAATGTTTATGTTAACATAATATAAAGTAGTAACAGAAATACCTGATTTTACGATGATACGTCCCCACCGAGGGACTTGGCGCCTACCCTCAAATCAAGGGTGACTAGGCCATAGTCAATCACGCTGGCCCAATGCGGGTTGGTTGACTTCACACAAATCTTTTGAATTTATTCTCAGATATGTGCAGGTTGCATCACGATGTTTTCCTTCACCGTAAGAACGTCGGATAAATGTACATATGTAAATCGGAATCGAAAAACACATTGGTACAAGGCGGGATTCGAACCCAGGACATGCAGATTGCAAGTCAAGTGCTTTACCCCTGAGCCACCGACGCATATAACCTTGTAATACTCATAAAAACTGTTCAAGTTTTAAAAGCAGGATTTATGAATCATAAAAAATCTCGTATGTTTATGAAAATAATGATCTGTTCAATAACGTTGTTGTGATTTTCATGTAGAAGAAACGAATTTTGGTCTGTCTGATAAGTTGCCTCCCTTAGTAAAGGATTAGTTTTAGAAATAAACGCGAAGGGTTTTCTTAGTGACCAATTACCGATTCTGAGTGTGGCAGTTAGACAAAAAACATCTAGGAGACAGGAACCATTTTTTGTTTAATTTATTACGATACATGAAATTATTACATGAAGCTTGTTAT